TGCGCAGGTGCAAGACGGTCGGCATCACCCGCCCCATCATCGCCCTCCGCATCGGGTATGCGGCGTCCATCCAACTCGCCTGAATCGTCGTCCATGGGAACTGCCTCCTGAGTGGCTGCATCGCCTGGCTGCAATGTGCCCGCCGCACACAACCTAATTATGACGTCGGACACGGTCGGATCGCCATACTCAGACGCACCTAACTCTCCTCCCGTGGCAGACCCGGAGTCCACATCTCCCTGGGGCGACGTCTCGGGCACTGCGGTATCGGGTATCGCTGCTTCGGCTGGAAATGCGTGCGGGACTGTACGAACGCTATGCTCTACCCCACCCTCATCACGGGCTGCAGTACCCGTCTCCCAGTCTCTAGCACGCTGCTGCTCCGCCATGTACTTATCTCTGCCCACCCACTCTCTCTGCAACTGCTCCAGCCGCTGCTCCTCCTCTCGATCCATCCAAGCATGGAGCTCCTCCACGGACTCTGGACCACCACCCTGCACAGGATGGTACTCGGCCTCATCCCCCACTCTCTCTCGCCCATCAGACCGCCCTCGAACACCGCTGCCCACAAATCCTGGTCCAAGGCCCTGAAAGTCACTCGTGCGCAACTCCCTCTGCTGACTGTCGCCTGGAGGTGCCGAGGCGGGCGTATGCTGGCTCGGCAAATGCTCCTCATCTCTGATGTCGTCTAGGTGGTATGACGCCTCGCGTCTACCACCTGAAGTCGATCCCGCCTGCGTCTGCTGCAGCCTCGCCGATCTCCTCAGACCCTCGGCGGCAGGCGCGGGCCGCACGGCTCCCTACTGCGCCAACCGTGCTCTGCGAAGCAGTAACGACTCGTCATCGTCGTCGTCGTCCGCGTCGTCCGTGTTTCGCTGTCCACCATCCAACCCTACATCGGTGGCAGGGATGGGATCGTCGTCGCTCTCGCAAATGAATGTGCAGCGTGGCTGGAATCCATCGGCTCCTCCTCCGTATGTGTAGTAGAGTCTCTCCGCACTCTTATCCACACCATGTGGCAAATCCCCTCCGACCTCCGTGTCCGTCTACTCCTCCAACGCCTGCACTGGCTCTGCTGGCGGTGGAGGCACGTAGTCGTAAGGATGGAGTATCTTGGCTCTGGCACCGAAAACCTCGGCAATCCCCGCTGGCCGACGAGCACCCTGCTGCTGGAAGCGACGAACCTGTGCAGCGATCTCGTGTGCCGGCACTGCTGTCTGAGGTCTAGCTCCCCACTCCTCTGGCTCAGGCTCCTCCTCCTCATCCTCATTTGCGACTACCGGGTGTGTATACTCCTCTGGCTGCGCCTCAGCCAAGGTCGCCATGTGACCCCACGGAAGAACGTACCCCCCACTCCGCTCGCTGCATCCAAGTAGTTGGAGATTTGTAGCAATCTCAACTAACTGTGCGACCTTCCTGAACTCGAGCTTATTGCGCTTGGCCATGTGGATGCGCTCATGCTCTGCCCAATTCCTCTCAGCAGGAGAGGCGGACGTCCACATGTGCATCACACGGCCAGCGATCTCCTGCAAGTCCGGGAAGCATGCGTCGTGCTCCACCCACCATGACGCGCACCTGCTCGTCTCTTCGTCCCCTACACAGGCCTCCACCTCGGCGTCCCTCGTCACCCTCTCTGTGTGGTGGCCGCCCCTGGAGTGGAAGGATCGCATCTGCTCACGCACCCGCAAGTATGCATCCCCAGCACGATCACCGCCTGTCTGCGCCAACAAAAACGAGTCGCACTCGGTGACGACCTCGAGGTCCGCAGCTGTCCTGCGGGCGCACTCGTAGTAACGGAGAGAGCATCTGCGGGGGTTGAGCAGGTGCGCCGCAGCGTGCGCAGGCTTGAGCATATGCATAGTGCAGATCTGCACCGCCTCCACGCAAGGCCCCCGCATGTCATCAGGGACGTCAGCAGCAGCCACCTGCCGTACCAACTCCTGTGACCATGAGTACATCGTGGACATGATCATGCCGCCCCTGTCCAATCTCCTCAGCAGTTGGTGGACAGGGGTCATGACTGCGACAGCGTGCTGAACGTTGCGCCAGAAATCGGCGCAGCGGATGAGCTGTCGAACCCACAGAGCCTGTCTACGCTTCGACGACTCCCATGGGATCTTGTCCCACTCGTCGTCATGAAGCATGCTCTCCAAGGCATTACGCCTCGCCAACAAACACACAAACATAAAAAAAACAGACGCGAATCACGTCTCCACTGGGTGCACAATTGTGCGGCGACGGCTTTTCACCCTGAACAGCTGATAAGCCGCGCCGTGCGATTTAATGAATCGCACCAACGCTCGAACACTGAAAATGGTGTCCGTAACCCAAGGAACCCGTGTCCCGATGTCAGTCAACATCAAGTTGGCCACGTGGGTGGCACACGGGAGCCAAGTGATACGGCGAATGTTCGGATCAGAGTCCTTCGCAAGGAGCTTTGCGGTCGACGTGTAGTTCGACGCAGAGTCCGTGCAAATGGCCAACACGTCCTTCGGAGGGAAAGACCGAAAAATGGCCTTCCATCTCCTCAGGACGATCTGTGCCGTCTCGGACACTGAACCGTCTCGCTGGACGGTGGCGTATAAGAGGGCACCGCGCTTGGCAGCTGCGAGGAAGTTGACTATAGGCCTAGCGTCTCGCGACTGCCTACCGTCCGACAAAATGGTGGCCCCTATCGACTCAAACGTACTACGGACCTCCCTCAACATCGCGGCAACCTTCCCTCGCTGCTCATCAATACCAGCACCCCCGATGTCCTTGAAGGACGGATAAATTGGCTGCACTCCACGAGGCATGGAGGCCAACTGCTTCTTGTGCTGAAGCCATGACTGCCTCCTAAATGCAGCGAACGGAATACCGGCATCGTAGGCCCACTGCAAAAAAGTGTCCCTGAATCCGGCCTTCCCATCCGGATCGTACACCTCGTCCAGTCTTGACTGCCGCTGTCTCTTGCGCCCCTGTGGCACGCCCTCAACTCCACTCTCCACCGGCATCTTTCCTCGCACAGTCATAACCACATCCTCTCCCGGCATATCGGGTGTCGGGCCTGCCCCTCCACCCTCCTCACCGCCCCGGGCCTCTGCTCGCCTCGCCTCCTCG